AGGTCTAATCATTTCAACAAAGCGCTCAAAATCCTCATCATCTTTTTTCTTGGATGGTTTAGGAGGAAAAGGCATCGGTTTCTGAACCCATGGTTCTCTTTCTTTACCGTGCTTCCTAGCAACAAAGTCTCTCTTATCATAATGTTGATTCTTTGATTGTGGGTTATCAAGATCAACTACAGGTTCAATCTCTACACCATTGTCATTACTAGGTTGAGCATCAACATGAACATCATCATTAACATTATCACTATGTTCATGTTCATTACCAGATTGTGTCTCAGCATCAGAAATAGAAATATCATTGGGATTCTCAGGTGTGTCTATAACAGGTTCACTAGAAGCATGCAAAGTCCTACCATTTTTATTTTTCTTCCTTTTAGAAGAACTAGGTGCATCAACATTAGTTCTCTGAGAATCTTGCTCAATTCTCTTAGGGTGGCCCTCAGGATACAAAGGTTCCTAAGTCATTTTACCCCCTCTAGTCATAACTCTAACAGCATTATCATTTTTCTTATTATTCAATTCATTGAGCAAATCATTCTGAGCCTTAAGTACTTGTTCTACTTGAGTGGTGGCCATAGAAGCATGTTTACTAATAAGTTTAAGTTCACCTTTAACTCTAGACATATAATCACTCTAGTGTTCAAGCATGTCAGCATTGTGGTTCAATTGTCTACCAACATAAGCATTGAAGTTTTCTTGTTTAACAATAAAATTATCAAACTCATCTAAGCATTGGCTAGCAGACTTATAACGAGGGATATCACCTTCATCAAATCTATAGAGAGAATTTACCTTTACTACCCGTGTCAGGTTATCAAGACCATGTATTTCTTCAATAGGTGGTAAATTCTTAACATCTTCAGCTTTAATACCTTTTTCGTTCATAGATTTCTTTGCCTCTTGCATATCTTCAGGACTGAGAAATAGAATGCCCCTTTTCTTCGGAGTTGGCTTAGGAGTTGGTTCAGGAAGTGTCCAATAATTTTCATTACTCAACATATTATTCAATATCAATTCAGCTTGATCAACAGTTCTTTCCCTCAAAACACAACCAGCACAACTATCCAGGTGGTCTCTGGAAGCATCGGTTAGTCAATTATAAAAGACATCAAATATTTTATTTTTCTTGAGAGGATGATCAGGCAAAGCATTAAGTAATTGGAGAAGCCTCCCCCAAGCTTGTGGGAGACTCTCTTCTTCAATTTGCACAAAATTATATATTTCCCTTAAGGCAGCTTGTTTCTTATGAGCGGGGAAATATTTAGTAGAGAAGTAATAAATCATATCCTGGGGACTACGCACACAACCAGGATCAAGAGAATTAAACCATGTTTTAGAATCACCCTTTAATGAGAATGGAAACAACTTAAGGATAAAGTAATAGCGAGTTTTCTCATCATTAGTGAATAGGGTGGCTATATCATTTAATTTAGTAAGATGTGCCACAACAGTTTCAGATTCATAGCCATAAAAAGGATCAGATTCAACCAGGGTAGTTAACTGAGGATCGACAGAGAAATCATAATCCTTATCAATAATAAAGATAGGTGAAGTAGCAAAAGCAGGGTCATATTTCATTATAGCATTAAAAGACTTTTGTTTAAGTTTAACTAATAATTTCTTAAGATCAGATCTGTCATTGCAAGCTAATAAGTCTCTAGCAGTTTCTTCATCCATAACATAACCCTCAGGAACAATAAGCAATTCGTATCTAAGGGGAGAATCTTCATCATCACTTTCATCAATATTATCAGTTTCAATAATTTCATTCTCTCTAACCCTAGCAAGTTGTTCATCAAGAAATTCACCTAGTGGCACAGTATTATCAAGCATAGAAGTAGTTTCATCATAAGTATCATACAAAGCAGAAGTGGCATCATTAATAACATGCGACATATCAGAATGAATAGCAGGAGTAGGTGTCACAAGTTTACTCAAAACAGAAGGTGAATCAAGTGCAGAGCTAGATGGCAATTCCTTACCTCCCCTCGTAGTTGAGGGAAAAATCTTGGTTCTTTGATCTTTCAAGTTCTTCATAGTGATCAGCAAATATAAATCCCAAGTGACTCAAAGAATAGAGCTATGCTCCCCGGCAACAGCGCCAGAAAAGTCTTGATAACCCACAAGTATAGGGGATCGCAACAGTTTTCGAGGGTAGAGTATTCAACCCAAATTTATTGATTCGACACAAGGGGAGCCAAAGAAAATTCTCAAGTATTAGCAGCCGAGTTGTCAATTCAACCACACCTGGAAACTTAATATCTACAGTGAAGTATTTAGTAACAAAGTAATATGATAGTAGTGGTAGCGATAACAAAAGTAATATTTTTTGGTTTTATAGTGATTGTAACAATAGCAATGGAAAAGTAAATAAGCGAAGAACAATATATGAAAAGCTCGTAGGCAATGGATCAGTGATGGATAATTATGTCAGATGCGATCAATCATGCAACAGTTATAACATAGGGTGATACAGAACTAGCTCCAGCTCATCAATGTAATGTAGGCATGTATTTCGAATATAGTCATACGTGCTTATGAAAAAGAACTTGCATGACATTTTTTGTCTTACCCTCCCGTGGCAGCGGGGTCCTATTGGAAACTAAGGGATATTAAGGCCTCCTTTTAATAGAGTACTAGACTAAAGAATTAACACATAGTGAATACATGAACTCCTTAAACTACGGTCCTCACCGGTAAGTATCCCGATTATTATCACTTCAGGGTTAACGGATCATAACACATAATAGGTGACTATAGACTTGCAAGATAGGATCAGGAACTCACATATATTCATGAAAACATAATAGGTTCAGATCTGAAATCATGGCACTCGGGCCCTAGTGACAAGCATTAAGCATAACAAAGTCATAGCAATATCAATCTCAGAACATAGTGGATACTAGGGATCAAACCCTAACAAAACTAACTCGATTACATGATAAATCTCATCCAACCCATCACCGTCCAGCAAGCCTATGATGGAATTACTCACGCACGGTGGTGAGCATCATTAAATTGATGATGGAGGAAGATTGATGATGACGATGGCGATGGATTCCCCTCTCCGGAGCCCCGAACGGACTCCGGATCAGCCCTCCCAAGAGAGATTAGGGCTTGACGGCCGCTCCGTATCGTAAAACACGATGAATCCTTCTCTCTTATTTTTTTCTCCCCGAACACGAATATATAGAGTTAAGATGGGCGTCGGTGGAGCATCAGGGGGCCCACGAGGCAGGGGGCGCTCCTAGGGGGTAGGCGTGCCCCCCACCCTCGTAGACAGGGTGTGGGGCCCCTGACGTGGATTCTTCCCCCAGTATTTTTTATATATTTCAAAAATAATCTCCGTTGATTTTCAGGTCATTCCGAGAACTTTTATTTCTGCACAATGGCAATTCTGCTGAAAACAGCGTCAGTCCGGGTTAGTTCCATTCAAATCATGCAAGTTAGAGTCCAAAACAAGAGCAAAAGTGTTTGGAAAGTAGATACGACGGAGACGTATCAACCCCCCAAGCTTAAACTTTTGCTTGTCCTCAATCAATTCAGTTGATAAACTGAAAGTGATAAAGAAAAAACTTTTACAAACTCTGTTTGCTCTTGTTGTTGCAAATATGTAAAGCCAGCATTCAAGTTTTCAGCAAAGATTATGAACTAACCATATTCACAATAACATTTAAGTCTCATATTTACTCATATCAACGGCATAATCAACTAGCGAGCAATAATAATAAATTTCGGATGACAACACTTTCTCAAAACAATTATAATATGATATAACAAGATGGTATCTCACTAGCACTTTCTGAGACCGCAAAAATATTTTACCTTTTGTTTAGTTTTATTTATCTATCTATCAGATCTGACCTTTGCAAGTGATCGTAAAGGGATTGACAACCTATTTATCGCGTTGGGTGCAAGTGTTTGATTGTTTGTGCATGTATTATGTGTTTTGTACGTTCTTATCCTACTGGATTGATACCTTGGTTCTCAAACTGAGAGAAATACTTATCTCTACTTTACTGCATCACTCTTTCCTCTTCAAGAAAAAAATCAACGCAAGCTCAGGAAGTAGCAGGCGGCCGTATGGAGCGGCGGCCGAGGTGTAGGGTTAGGTTTTGGGAGGGAGAGGGAGAAGTAGCGGCGACAAGAGGGGCGCGCAGCTGAAGTGGGAGGAGATGGTGCGATGGCGGCAATAGATCGCGAAAGTGAGGAGGGGATCGACTTGCTAAACCGATACCATGTTAGATGGAAAGAAGAGATTGCATGTATCGATAATCATTGATCAGGTGCATGGTGCACATATATAGATACAAGGAGTGTCGGCCTCTACTTGTCTCTCAAGATGTACAAATATACGAGAAAGAGAGGATTTACGGCAGAGTAAATACAAAGCCCTAGTCCTATACATATATACATGTTCAGGACCTCCTGCTTGGAGGACAAGGCCGTCCCTATAGACTGGGATTAGGCCAAGTTTTCTGGCCGATTCTCTCAGAATCTTGAGAATCGGGGCTCCTCACAGTTTCTGTCAAAATCTTGAACTCATATTTTTTTTACAATTCTAACTAATTAGGATGTAAACAGTTAGGACTGTTCAAGATTCTGAGAGGAGCTGGGTGAAGGATCGATTCTCCAAATTCCGAAAGAATCGGCAAAAAAAAACCGAGTGTTCTGTGTGTTATTCCCACCTTTACATACTACAGTCTGACACATTTATAAATTCTCTGTCCGTCGCTCGGTCGCTCCTCCCGGCACGAACCCAATCACGCAAGCAAAGAAGGGAGCGGAGCAGCACCCGCACCGGCCCTCGTAATTGCCTCCTCGATCTCCAATCATAGGCCGGCTCGAGGTGCCACGCTATTCAACGGACCTCTCCCTTTGTTTACTCCTCCCGCCCAAATCATTCTCAGTTTCCTCTCCTCCTCTCTGTTTCGAAGAATCAGACCGAGCCTAGCTTCCTAGTTGTTGTGTGGTTGGGCGGTGCTGGTGCGTTAATGGCGGTTGACCTCCTCCTCCCCCTCGCGCCTTTAAATTGCGCGGGAAGAAGCGCCAGTGGTGAGAGCCGCAGATAGCCATTTGTTTCTGTTACTGCCTGCCCTTGCTCCGATTGAGTCTCGCCCGGGCTCTCTGTTCCGTGTTCTGTTTCTGTTTCTGCTCTTCAGCAGCAGCCGCTGCTTCTTGTCCCTTCTTTCCTGACGCGGCAATGGCATCGGAGAAGCTCGTCGCCAGGAAAGGCAGGCTCAGGCAGCGCTACGACAACGAGTACCGCCTCGTCGCCGGGTGAGTATCCACTCATTGGATCATTGTATCTTCCATGTTCCAAGCCGTTCTTGCCCTGACGAGCCGTGTTCCTCTCTCGGGCGCAGGTGCGTCCCGTACCGCGTGGACAAAGACGGGCAGCTCGAGGTTCTCATGGTCTCCACAGCCAACAGGGACGATCTCGTCTTCCCCAAGGTAACACCAACTCACAGTACCAACCATCACACATATTTCGTCGGCGACATGCATCCACGTACTGATCGATCGATGGATTGACTTTTTCAGGGCGGCTGGGAGGACGACGAGGACGTCTATGAGGCGGCATGCCGCGAGGCGCTGGAGGAGGCCGGAGTCAGGGGCAACATCAATGTAACTACTCTACTCACACATATCTTTCCTTGGCATGCATCACCAACCTAGTGGAGTATTTACTATCTTGATTACATGAACAGCTAATGGTGCAAGTTTACTGCATCTCTAGGTAATTAGCTGATTTATTTTTTTGGCGGGTGAGGTAATTAGCTGATTTGACCTCTAGAGATCGATTGAGCTATATATGATGATATACTAAAATAAGCAGATAGCGGCGAACACGATGATGTTTGATAGAGAAAGCAACCAGCCAGGGATTTTTCTCTCTTGATAAAATGTGTCGTGGAGAATTTTTTGGATCTTACATAACAACCAGGAGACAAGACAAGGACATGGCCGTTGACTTAGTAAAAATTTACATATTCGGTGTGACAAGGTGTAATTCTTTCACGATTATCCTTTGAGTTGTCTAGTCTGCCGGGGAGCCCTTGATTATTGTGAATCCAAATAATTGCGCTCTTTTATTCATCTTGCGCTGGCTTGTCGTCAGACTTGTCCCCTGGAACAATTTCCAAGCATCGATACATGGCTCCTCCACAGATGATAGAAAAGAACACATTCAGAGATCTAGCAGATTGCTGCTATGCATGTGACGTGTCTGCTGTTTGTCCAACACCGATCTAAACAATCAGCTCCTGTTGGTGACATGTTTGTGTTAATTATGTATTAGCATTTACATGAATTATATAGCTGTTTCTGATAGGAAATTACCACGTATTTTCTCTCCAGAGAAACCCGCTGGGCTTGTGGGTGTTCAGGAGCAAGAGCAGGCAAAGCCTGGGCCAGAGCAGCGACAGCCCGCGGGGCGCCTGCAAGGGCCACGTCTTCGCGCTGGAGGTCACCGAGGAGCTCAAGCAATGGCCGGAGCAGGAAACCCACGGAAGGCGGTGGCTCTCCCCAGCGGACGCGTACGGGCTCTGCCGGTACGACTGGATGCGCGAGGCGCTGACGGCATTGCTGGACCTTTGTTCGACGGCATCGTCGCCGATCCCTGTAGCGGCGGCGGTGGCCGTGAGCACTGCGGCGCCGGAGCTGAACGAGCACGCTGGCATGTGCATAAGCATGATGCTGATGAAACCGGTGGACTCCGCGGATCGAGCGGTGGCGCTGTGCTGATCCTTGCGGCGCATGCAGATGAACTGACGACAGACTGCAGGCGAAGCTAATAAGCAGACAGAAATATCATCTGATAAGACATTTGAACATGTTCTCTTTTCGTTCTAATCAGTAATTAGTTATCGTCGTAATTACTGAGTGTCATCCGTCATGTATGATCAATTCCTGGCCTCTGTTGATTGCCAACTTGTATGATCGATCCGTGCGCTCTGTAATGTTATCAAGTCTTAGGGCCACTTGATTAAGTCGTCATGTAAATGTTTGCTTCCGTTCCTCAAATGCATTTTCTGAGCAACAAGAATATTTGTGAATAGAGTTTTATTATTCTGTCGTGGTTCAACATATTTTGTCATGTTTTTTATAAAGAGAAACATCAAGATAGTAGTGCCCAATACGTCTAACCAATGCAACAATATAATGTCAAGAGGTAGTTTAGACATATAGGTTGCACACACCAAATTATTAAAAAGAAGAAAAAGTAATGACCTCTAGAAAGTCACGGCCAAGCAATCACCAGTGGTTGACATGTTTCATTGCGCGTGATCCAACGGCGAGTCCACCGTAGGTACCAGCCGACCGCTACAACTTGCTTGATATTAAGGCTTGGCATTAGTTATAGAGGCGGATCAGGGAGCAACGGAATATGTTCCATGACAACAGACCCTGATTGATCAACCATCTCTGCTGTAGAGATGAAGTCCCTCAAACCCAAACGTTGCCGAAGTTGCTGCGGCTGAATGCACTAGAAAACGCAGATGACGAATATCTTCAGAGTGTTGGTGGCAGATCGGGCAAGCTCTAATTGGCCCTATGTGCCGGGTTGTGCTTTTAAGGGCATGAAGCATGGAGTAAGGGCATCTCCCGACCCGTAAACCTGCCGCAATGGTCCAGACTGGTCTGGACTGCGGAAACCATCTAAAGACGGTCCTATATTGATCTGTTGCGTGGTTCGGATGTAATTTCTCCCGCAATTTGAAGATAAAAATGAGGAAGGTTTGCAGGAGTCCGGACCGATCCTAAGCCCGCTTTTGACCGTCCTGACCCATCAAAAACCCCTCATCCCTCCCGCGTGTTCTCGGTCAACGCCGCTCCAGAGCGTCAGCGCCCGCATTCATGTCCGACCAGAGTAGACGCGGTCGCTCACTGGCTCCGGCATTGAAGCGGCACTCCAACCAAGAGAGCGCCGCCCGCGCCGATTCCTGGTGCAGGCGACTGCGTGCGTTCAAACAACACGACAACCGCCAGTCCGTCCGTCTGCCGCCCACAATGATGGCTCGCGGTTGCCGAGGTGCCTCCTCCGGCGCCACCTGTCCATCCCTTTACCGCCCATCGGTGCTATATAAACCGTTGCCCTGGCCATAACCACAGTCATCCCTCTCCGCACCACTCCCCTCCAGCGATCCCTCTGCAGCCAAAGCTCTCTGGGATGGGCTGACGTCGAAGCAGAAGAAGGCCATGGCCGCCATTGTTGCCGACTGGCAAGCTGGCAGGCAGCCGGAGGACGCCTCCTCTGACGACGTGCAAATGAAGGTCCTTCGACGAGCTAGCGACACCCTCCTCTTCCTCCGCGGCACCCCCTCCTCCGCTCCATCCTCGCTGATGGATTGCACCATGACCATCGGTGAGGCCCGTGCCCATTATATGAACATGGTGCCGGAGGAGCAAGAGGACCAGTTCTGGGAGGCGCAAACCAATGTCAACTACAACCACAATCTCCTTCAGAAGCATCCGCACACAGAGGAGCATGTCGCCACTGGCAGGGCGGTCGCTCCAGACGCGGACCTTGCGGAGGAAGAGGCATTGCTCGAGTCCTACCGCTCTGCCCGCCAGATCCACCTCGCCCGCTGGCGGTATCGGCAGCGGGTGGCGAAGGTGGTGGCCGCCAGCAAGGAGTGCGGCGACGAGGCGGGTGAGGCGTTGTTCGGCGAGACCAACGACGAGGAGGCCGCGCCCCAGCGCCATGACCACGAAGAAGCCGACACGTCCGTGGGTGCCTGCGACGGCGAGGAAGAGTAGTGCACGGTAGGTCACCGCCGCTCGTGTCACAGGAAGGCCATCGCTCCTCCTCTCCCGTTGACGCCAAGCTTAGTGGGCTGAGCATCTTCGGCCGATTAGTTGCTTGGCGGCGACATGGAGGCGGACAACTTCAGTTCCTGGTGCTCCGGAGGCGGAGGTTACGGAGGCGGAGCTGGAGAGGGCCGATGCGGAACTAGAGACGGTGAAGCTTTGGTTCTCAGGGCTGATGGCTGGACACGGGGACCAGGCGCCGGCGATCATTTAGATTAGGTATTAATTATACTCCAGAGCCCGCCTAGCACCGCTTTGTTGTATTTGTAATGAAATTTGTCATATTTATATGAAATTCGTTGTGTTCATATGAAATCCGGTCGTGTTTATATGAAATCTGGACTTGTTTGAACGAATTTCATTCGGTTGGTTCAAATTGTTAACGAATTTCATTCGGTTGGTTCAAATTGTTGTAAAAATGTATGCGGGTATGGTTGGATGACGTTCTCTCTCATCCGTGTCCGCGGACTGATCCCCTTGTCCGTGGACGGATGCGAAAGAAATTTACGGGTTGCCATTGTAGATGCCCTAACGCCAACAAAAAATAGAAACTTATTATTACTAACGAATTTTAGCCCTGCATGGTCAAAACTTAAGTAAAGAAACAAGAAAAGAATGTGTCTTGGGGTGCCAGCTTTTGGAGGGCGATCTCCATGGGGTGGTTATTTTGAAAATTTAGAAAATTATATTTTGGAGTTTCAACAAATTCTGAAAAAAAAATCTACACATTCATATGGATGTATCCTATATGTGCATAAAGTCTAACGCTGAAATATATGGTGGGAGCTACACAAAAAAGAAAATTCGTGCATTTCTAATGGTGAATAGTATTTTTTACTGTTCATCAGTTTCAAATCACGATTCTGTCTTTCTTGTGTAGCTCTCACCATAATATTTATCATCTTCAAAAATTGCACACATGTAGAATACATCCATATGAACATGAATGATTTTTTTCAGAATTTTGTGAACCTTCTAAACATGATTTTTGACTTTTTTCAAAATAATCATCTCCATGGAAGTCACCCGTCATCGGCATTTTCAAATGTGTCTTCCGCAAAAAGGAAGTAAATGAATGAGTCAGCCCAACTCCTGGTCCATACAAACTTGCGTTTGTTTGGTGGGCTGGGCTGTCCAAATTGACCCAATCAAGAAACCACTAAAAACAACGATGGCAATTTGGCATCCTCTATCGTTGCTAGTTTGACATAGCCTGCCTTCTATAGCAGCCACAAAACTTCACCATTTCAACTTGAAAACCAATCCATCCAGTGCCCTGAACCTAGAAAGAAGACAATGTATTAGGTTAATTGCAGGAGTTAGGCATGCATGGCAAGTTGGGTTTTATCACTGGTCGTTATTTAGTTAATGTTATTGTACATTTTCTTCTGCCAAAGCTTGTACATTTCATCTAAAATGACCTACCATACTGATTTGTGCCTTAGTGCCTTACACATTTAATTTATGTTTCAGAGACATTGCGTGCACCAAACACATTTGAATTCGGAAGAGGCGTATACTCCATCCGTAAATTAATATAAGAGCATTTAGATGACTATCTAAATTAATATAAGAGCGTTTAGAGCACTAAATAGTAATCTAAACACTCTTACATTTCTTTACAGAGGGAGTACTAAACTTAGCTCATAGCATTTGGATATATATGGCATTGAAATGGTCCAGACTCCATAGCTTGAGAGGTAGTCTTTGGTTGGTAGGTAGCTCTCGGCACATGCCAGACGAAAACTTTGTTCAGCTTCGCCTCATCACTTCATATTTTGGATTGCTAATACTCGGAATGTAGCCTGCAGCCTTTATACTTTTCAGAACCCTATGTTGAGAAGATGTGTCTACTATAAACTGCAGTTTTTGTCTGTTGTTGCCCTTTCTGTACAAGATGATGCAGGAAAGTTTCTTCTTTCTTCTTCATTATCAAGAACGCATTGACATTCGTAACCATCTAGCTAGAGGAACACAATATTGACTTAGCCTTGAAGTTAGTTCATGCCAACAAATCTTCAGCTCCAATCGGATCATGGAGCAGAGCACCTCCACATGACTGGGTGGGCCATAACCCATGGTATTGAACTCTCACTTTTGGTCATGAACCCTACTTGCTTAGTACTACTGGTTTTGTCCGTTGCTAGCATAATTAATCCTAGCTAGCAGGTTACACAAGGGAGGTTATGTTGTTAGGTTCTAACTAGATATAGCTAACTATAGTGGTACCTAGTGGATATGTCTGTGGAATGCAAGAATTCTACTCCAAACTAGATCACTGATGGCGCGCGTTGCCATGCCCGTCCATTTTTACGATGGAATTTTAGGTATTACCACGGGTAGATATTGTTGTAAGTGTGTAAACATAGCCATATTTTGTTAGTAATTAAAGTCGGAAACATTTCCAATTTTCATTAGTATGCAAAAATGGAGCACAGTATTGATCAATAAAGGAAAGGTAAATTTTATTTGGTATGCAAAGTAGAGTGGTACCGATTATGAACTTGCATGTCAAGCCGAACACAGGTTTCAGTTTTCAGGACTGGAGCATGTATTAGAAGATTGGTGCACAACTAAGAGCACCAAGCAAGACAAGAGTTCAAGTAGGACTCTTACAAAAATAATGATGCTTAACATAGGTTGTTCCATACCTAGTCTTAAAAACCAACCTTTAACTCTTAATCAAGAAAATATATATCCTTATTGGGTGTAAATTTTCATCATCTCCAAAATAGTTACAGTTAGGTGTGCGTGTGACGCATTGTTTTTCACAGTATGTTGAGGAAGTTCCACGCGAGTACTAGTCCTATAGTTTTTTTGTGCCAGAGTATTAGATTCCATTTTGATTATATTTTTTCTTCAGGTGAATATTGTCAATGGCGAGCCCTTCCTTCTAGCCACCTTAGTCCCCGGTCCATCTGGAGTACATGATA